CCCCAAAACCCCAAAACCCCAAAACCCCATATGTTACAATTATGTTTATTTGAGGTTATTATTAAATTTATTTATTAAAATTTGTAATGATATGTTGTTTGTTTTCAAAATCAATAATCATTTTTCAAGCATCTCCTAAATCCAAATCTTTGCCTAATGTATTGTTTCATTGCATTCATCTCTCATACCAAGAAGGGGGGCGTTAAAATTTAAATATCCATGAGGCATATATAAATACTCTTTAAGTTTTACATCATGATCAAGTTTAGTTAATCTGTTTGTGAGATTAAAACTCTCATCTCTAAGTGGATCATTTGCAGCTACCATAATTCTTACTCTTGGCAGCTATGAGAGTATATAATCTGGTGCTATAATAGGAGATATATACATATTTTTGTCTGGATCACAAGCTGGATCAGCTTTATAGTCTCCAACATAGGACTCCAGACACATTTTTAGGAAGGGATAGGGAAGCATTTAATCATCAATAGACATAAGCAATGAAGGTGTGAACCTACTCTTTGCGACACTCAGTGCGGGATAGCATAATACAATTCCATCAGGGACTCTATATTATCTCTCAATGGCCATTAAAGCAACAGCTATAGCAAGATTGCCACCTGCTGAGTCACCAACAATAATTATTTTGTCTGTTTTAATGCCCATTACATTCTCAGCATTCTCTACAATCCAGTAGTATACTTACCAAACATCATTTAATGCATCAGGGAATTAATGTTAAGGAGAAAGTCTATAATCTATTGATAATAATGGCACATCTAGACTTTTCGCCCACATTCTAGTATAGCATTAATGACTACTTGACGACATAGCAACAAATCCTCCTCCGTGAATATGAATAATCAGAGAAGTTTTGGTAAGTTTAAATTCAAATATCTTAGAGACGTCATAAAATATTTTTTAAACCAAACTAGCGTCATCCATATCCACCTTTTCTTATTATTTAATCTGGCCAGAATCAAAACAAAAATCGATCTCTTTATTACAAAGATATCTCACCTTTACATGAGTAGCATTGTTATATCCAGCTTCTGGCTCCTTATGAAGTAAGGACTTATCTTAATCTTCAACCACTTCAAAGACGATTTCTTGTCTTCTTCGTCTATCAAACTTTGGTAAGTTATTGATATTTTATCTAGTGAGAATAGTATCCAGCATCGGTATAAATATTATCTTATTTTTTCTAATTATTGGTAAAGTTATCTACATCGCTTAAGCTACGGACTTTTACTCCATCATGTTCCACAATTCGAGAGTCATTGCTAAATCAGGGTTCGCTTTTATCATATCTTATTGATCTAATCTCTTTTGCTTCATAAAATAGTAATATGTGCCATAGATTCCTGTCTTTAACATTCTTTTCAAAAAGCTGTCATCTCTAGAGTTCTTATTCATAATACAATTTCCTATTGCCAAGTACTCATGGAACTTATGATATGCTTGTACTAATGATTTGGCCGAGGGAAATTCGTGCTATTCGTAATTGAACAGGAAGTATTACCAATCAGGACTATTGATGTCTTTGTAGAATATATCATCCTTGTTTGAAAGCATTGAAATATAAAGGACCATGTCTGAGATGTACATCTTAGAACATGTGACATATATTTTCCTTATAACTCGGCTTGTTGTTTTTCCTACAATTTGTAATGCTTTTTTGCAGGCTTCTATTAAGATATCTTGCATTTTTACTACGCATACTATAACTAAGGTAGCTGCATTTCTATTAATTTTCTTCTTATTATTTTTTAAGTCTAGCAGAATTTCTCTATTTTCGTAAGTTTTATCCTCGTAGCACTTCAGCATTCTTAGTGTGAAGTCATTTTCCTAGAAATCGTCAGAATCTATCCTTGATATAACCTATTCATTCTTAACTCTCTTCACTTCTCTATCTAAATTACTATCAACCCACTTAAATGCAATCTTCTACATTTATTGGAATATACCTTGTTTCTTATCTTAGTCTTCTTACTCTTCTAATTATAAATTTTCCTTTATCTCTTCATGTTCAATTAACTATTCTTATAATCCTTTAGAAGGGGATATTTGTTTCATATGCCTAATTTCTTATCTCACCTCTTCACTATCTCTGCTGTCTTATAATTCCTCAGACTATTAGTAAAAATCAGTAATTTAATTCTCAAAGATTGATTGTCTTAATTCATCGGCTCCCAAATCTTCTCCATTTAGAGACTAGTCTCTTATATCATTTTTGTCAATTTTTATTTCCTCATCCTTTCCGCTAAAAAACTTCATGTTCTCTTCAATTAAGATCAAGTACTCGCTCAGAGTAACATTTGTATGCTTCATAAGTTCTAAATTTCTTTGGAATATTACTCGGTACTTAGCCTTAAGTTTTGCGCTGTGTGCAATTATATCTTCATTTATGGTATCAAGCAACATATTGACTTCTTTTATCTTCTTCCGGCCTAAAGTTACTTAACTTAAAATTAATCTTTACAAGTATCAATAGCTTATTCTGTTTCATCTTCAGTATAAATATGAATCTTTTGCAAGATGCTATGTATTTTGTCAAGTTTGATCTGATTAGAAAAATCTTTGTCAAATAATTTAACTTTTTTGGGCTATTATTACTCGCCAACTTATTCTCTCTCCATTTAATATACTATATGATTTTCTTAAATAACCTGCTATTCTACTTTATGGGGTTTTGGGGTTTTGGGGTTTTG